GGCGGCCGTCGCTCCCCGAGAGCCCCACGACCCCCGCCCGGGCCGGGGGGAAGGGGGGAGGCTCACCCGGGGGGGCAGGTCCATCCTCCTCCTCCTCTTCCTCCTGCTGCTCCTGCTGCTGCCGCCCGCTCCCCCTCCTCCTCCTCCTCCCGGGCTCGCCGTCTCCTCCGCCGCTCTGCGGGGCAGGGCCTGGGGGGGGGGGGGGGGGCCGCCGGGGCCCGGGGGGGGGGCGCCGCGGGGGGGCCGGGGGGGGGGGGGGGGTCTGGGCCCCCCGCGCTCCGCCCTCCCTCCCCCCTCCCTCCCAGCCTCGGCGGGGCCTGTCCGAGCCGGGCTGCCCCTGGCGCTGCCTGCGCCCCGCTCGCCCCTCCGCCATCTTGCCGAGGGCCCTTCGCTCCTCCGCCGGCTGGGAGCCGCCGCGGACACCCGCCTCCCCTTCGCCCCCTTCGCCTCACCTCCGGCCTCTCCGCCGCGGGGCTCCGGGGGCTCCGTCGGCGACTCCGGTTTCCGTTCCGGCACCCGCGAAGACGCCATGGCCGCTTCTCTCGCCCGGCGGAGGGATTTTGCGCTCGGGACCTCCACCGCCGAGGGCGCCGCTGCGGCCGGGACTACTTTTGTGGCCAACCCGAAGACCGCGCGCTTCTACGCTCGGGTCTATTTTTCGTCGGCGTCCGCGGTGAGCGTCGCCGGCCTTTGCCGCGCCTGCGCGCGAGAGGGGCGGGCCTGCGGCGCCCGCGGTAAACTTTGGCCTGTGCGTAACTCGGGTCTGAAGGGCGGCGGGGCGAGTTTGCAGCCGGGAGGGCGAAGCAGGCGCGGGGCGGCCGCGGGGCGGCCGCGGGGCGGGGGGAGCCTTCTGCCGCCGCCGGTGTGTTTTGCAAACCGCGGTTTGCCTGATGGGGAGGCCAACAATCGTGGCTTCTTTGAGACAAAACAACAACAACAACCCGGTTGAGCCAACCGTGGTTCGTCGCTCCCGTTGCGGGAGACGGGAGAGGGGCCTCCGGGCGGAGGAGGAAGGGCCGCCCTGGAGCTCCCGGGCTCCGAATGAGCGGGGGTGGTAGTGTCCGGCGGGGGTCCCTGCAGGGTCTCCCCAGAAGGAGAGCTGGGCTGCCCGGGGGGGCTTCTCTCCGTCCCGGCGCCCCTTTGGAGGGGGAGGGGAGCGGAGCGGTGGCCCGTTGCGCGAGGGGCTCCGCTGCACCCCCCCGGCCTTCCCCCCCCCCCGAGTTCGGGTTCTTTCTCGGCTGCGGGACGCTCCTTGCAGGCGGAAGCCACTCGGGGCGGAGGGTGTGCCGAGCGTTGTCCTTCAGCCCCCTCCCCAATCCGGCCGCAGCTTCCGCTTCCCCCAGCCCTTCGGAGCGGTTGCCTCATGGGGAGCCCCCGGCGAGGGTCCCTCCCGTGGCGGTTGGGGCTGGCTCAGCCCGAGCCTTGCCTCATCCGAGGTTGCACAAAGCTGCCAGGAACAGTCCGGCCTCCCCGGCCCCTTGCTTCATACTTGCTCCAGCCTCTCCTCCAAGGATTGGGGGGTGGGGTGGGGGGGAGGGCGACCGCTGCTGAGGGGAGGGTCCCGCAAGCCCCCTTTCCCCCTGAAGCCATTGCCACCCCAAACGGAAGAGGGGCTCTGCAGCTTTTCAGGAGAACCGAGGGGGCTAACTGGGTGTCTCCCCTCCCTCCGGGGACCCCTCCCCCCTCCTGGGTCTGAATGGTTTGTTTAGGACAGGGAGAGGCCGGCCTTGAGTCTGTGGCTGCATTTTTCATATTTTGGGAACACACAATAGACTGTCTGCACGAAGGGGGGAGGGAGGTGGGGGAGGTGGAGAGGTTTTCCTGATTGTGCATTTCTTGCAACCTTTATTTCTGCTGGGACTCGACCTAACGATTTAGATCCCGATAGCAGAACATACCATGTTGCTCCACAAGGAGGGGGGTGGCTGGAGGTCCAGGGACTGCAAAGAAGGGTTTGGGGACCCTTCCCGTGGCATGGGATCATTGCTTCCCTTTGGGGGGGGGAGTCCGTGTCGCCTGGGAACAGTGGAAGGCCACGTGTGGCATCCGCTCCCAAAGGGGCTGGCTTAGATGTGGAGGCCACGGAAGGGCGGGCTGCCTTGCCCAAAGTCCTGGGGGGGACGGAAAGCATGCGGTTGGCATAAAAATCCAGATTATGAAGACACCCCCCCACTTTCCTCCGGGCAGGTCCCTGATCTGAGTGGAGCTGCCTCAGTTTCCCCAGCAGGCAGGGGAGGTCAGTCTCAACCCGCTCCTTGGCTGGCTCTTGTGCCTGGGCAGCTCCAGGCCCGGCAGAGGTGAGGAAGGGGCGCCAGGAGTTCAGGGCTGGTCTTGGCCTCCATTGCCCCCGAGAGCGTCCGGCCGCCTCCCCTCTTCCTGGCTCCTTTGAGGCCCCCTCGGCGGTTTCTGGCCTCCTGCAGCCTCAGAGAGGCTGATTCATCACTCAGGTTCTGTGCAAAACAAGGCAGAACCGCAAGGCCCGGCTGGAGCCAGGAAGCCCCCCAGCTGGGCTGAGGTGTCGTCTGCAGCCTTGCCAGGAACCTCTGGAGCCAGCTGACCATGGAGGTCCTGGCACTGGCTGTGCCCCCACCACCCCCTGGAGGTGAATATCTGCCCCACCCTGGAGGGCAGGTGCTGAGCGGGGGGGGGAGCACACGTGGTGAGGGGAGCACAACTAGGCTGGGTCAGTCTGTGATGCTGGGGGTGGCTGCCAGTTCTGGGGTGCAGTTGCTCCCTGCTGCCCCATCTCTGCCCCGTTCCGGAAGCAGATCTGGGATGAGGCCATCTCAGGGCCTGACTGGCGAGTGGGCCGGTGTTCCACCTGCTGTGCAGCCCCAGAGAAGCAGTATTGTCAGGCTGCCGGGCCTGTTAGGCAGGGAGGCCAGCCTAGACTTTTATCCTACGCGCCCCACAGCTTCCACCTGGAGTGCCAGGTCATGGAATCCGAAAGGTCAGATAGGATGAACGGCTTAAATCAAATTTAAACAGGAATAGTCCCCGTACATACTGTGCAACACCCAGCACGTCAAGTATATACACGCTGCAAATTACTGAAGATGCAAAAAAGAGGAACTTGGAAGTCAAATAACCTGTATTTTGGCAGTTTGTTTTGTCTACTCCTTTGTTTTTCTCTTTAGCAAGTACGTGTCATAAATAATGGTATAATGAATACCTTAGCATTAACTACTAACTTAAAATATGTTTACTGTGCAACAAATTTTGTGGTCTGCTTATTGATGTCGCTCGTGTTTGTTTATTGGCATTGAGCTTTGGATGAAAAATTAACCTTATATTTATTAGCGTCCACATTTCAAATCGCGGTTTAATACTGACACAAACAAACGTTGTTTTCCCTCTGACTGGGAAGCTTGAGGTTCTCCCGGCTAAGAGCGTCAACCATCTCCAGCCTGTTAAAACAATAATTGCACCACAACAAGGAAACCAATTCTGAAAGGCTTTAAAAAGCTGCTTTTTGTGAGACCTTCCTGAAGCCAGAAGAACTTCCTTTGTTGCTCAATGCAGAGTTATTCCTTGACTTACGACCACAATGTAGCCCAACATTTTGGTCGCTAAGCCATTCAGGGAGTTTTGCCCCATTTTACGACCTTCCTTGCCGCTATTGTTAAGTGTCGCACTACTGGCGTTAAGGTTAGCAACCTGCTTGTTAAATGAACTCGGCTTCCTGATTGACTGTTTGTCAGAAGGTCGCAAAAGGGGATGGTGTGACCCACCCCCCACACACTGTGACCGTCATAAATACGAGCTGGCTGCCCAGCCTCTGAATTTTGGTCACGTGACTGCGGAGATGCTGCGATGGTTTTGTGAAAAACAGCCAGGAGCCCCTTTTTCGGTGCCGTAGGAACTAGGCAGGGTTGATACAGGAGCCCGGCTGGCTGTTTCCCTTGTGCCTCCCCGGTTGGTCGCTATTTTGCCTCGATCGCCAGGGCAGCTTCACCTGGGCAGATGGCAGGACCTGCCCTCCAGAGAGGCAGAGCCAGGCAGAGGGTTGGGGGCAACGCCTGGGCCACCACAACTGCCATCCAGCTCTGGCCCTCGGGGTAACCAGGGCAGCCACTGGGGGGGCTCTGCCTCCCTCCAGCCAGGACCCCTCAGCCCCCCCCTCCATCCCTCTCCTGGGAGGCTGCTGGCTGGGCTGCTTGGCTGTTAACAGCCCTCCCAGCAGTCGCCAATCTCTGCCCCATCTCTCCGCTGCCCCCTCCTCGCCAGGGGTCTTCACGGGGGTGGGGGCTGGGGGGCTCTGCCTTCTGCTCCCCAGGGAGAGACACCCCCCCTCCCAGGTTCCACTGAATCCCTTTGGGGCAGCAGGGGGCGCTTCGCCCTTTCATGAGGAGTTGGGGGGTGAGGGCTGAAAGGAGTTGATGTTCTGCTGCTCGGGGACCCCCCCCCAAAGGAAGGGGGGGAGCTGGAACAACCTGCCAGCCGCTGCGGGGCAACAACATTCACGTGCACCTGGCCCGCGATGGGAAGTAGCCCCCTCTGACTGCCCCCGCTCCTCGCCTGGTGGGCTTCTCTCCGCCTCCTCTGGCGCCCGAGGCTTTCTGCGGGGGGGGGGGGCGCTTCGTTCTCCCACAGGCCCGACCTCCCACCCGCGGGTGGCGGAGGAGGGCCGCCCCGCTCGCCAGGTGCCCCGCGGTCACGAGAAGCGGCCGAAGGACCAGCGGCCCGGGCTGCTGCGGCTGCCACTCGCCGGTTTCTCCGTCTCCGCCGGCCACGCGCGACTGCGCCTCCCGGCAAAACGCGCAGGAGGGGTGGCGGCGGGAAGGAGCGGCTCCCCGGGTGCTCGGGAAGGGCGACGCTGCCCCGCTGGGCTCCGCGCGGCGGGCGGATAAAGGACGTTTCGGCCAAGGGAAGCCCGGGCTCTTGCGCGCGTGGGGGACCGGGTGGGCCTCTCCGCCCCACGCGCGTGGCACCTTTGGAGGCCTGAAAGGCCGCCCGGCTCCCCGAGACCTCAGCCCGGCTCTGGAAAAGGAGGAGGGGGCCCCGCCCGTTTGCTCCCCGGCTGTCCCTTGCCTCGAGCAGTGGGGCAGGTAACCGGGGCAAGGCCGGCAGGGCCCACCTGGAGC